AGCCATTTAAATGTAAAGCAGCAAGCTCATTGGCTGCATATGCAACGGGAACCAATCAGCTTGTGACAGTCGTTTAGTGCTAAGAATATCATCAGTTACGTTAAGCCTGCACCATCTAGTTTCATGACAGAACTTGGTATTTAACCTCAGAATGATTTCAAAGAAAAAGAGGTGCTAAAGTCTGATTTTGTGGTGACTGTGCTTTAATATTACATTTTTATTAGGGATGCACCGATACCACTTTTTCCAGTACTCGCCCGATACCGATACTTTTATTTTTGGTACTTGCCGATACCGAGTACCGATACCAATACAGGAGCTCAGTATCGGGCCCGATACCAGTATCGGTATCGGTGCATCCCTAATTTTTATAATCTTAAATTTTAAGGATTTTGAAAGTCTGACAGTGTCAGTGTTGAGTACTACTCTAAGGTTAACCCTGCCTGGTTTAAATGTTTAAAAATGATTAACAGTTGAAAATATTCATTAGAAATTTAGAAAAGTAAATGTAATCAGTTACATTAAATTAATAAAGTAATTGAAACAGTTACACTACTTATTACTGTTACGTATCCGGTCCATGAACTTCCGTCTGCTAGCCATCAGAGGTCACCCTTTCCATTTTCATTGACTCATGGACACAACTATAATGCTATTAGCTCTCGAGCAGGGCACACAATCGCTTGAGAGTTATATTCAAGAGTATCTAGACATTGCTTATTACTCTGATTTCCCGGATTGTGTGTTGATAGACTTTTTCTGTGAGGGCATTAATCAGCCACTAAAGTCTAAACTCATTCACGAGGGTCCACGTTCATCTCTAAGTCAGTTTATGGACTATGCTCTGCTGTGTGTTAACTCTTCATCCACTGTGGGTGTCGCGGAGGAGGAATGCGAAACCGCGTCTGTGACTGAAATGGCGGCCGCACCGGAATGTTCCTTCTGCTCCGCCGTGGTGGTCTGTCTGGCTCTGGTGGTTCGCTGCTCTACCTGTACTGCCGGCTCCACCCTGGCTCTCTGCTCGCTGGTTCTGCCTCAGTTCCCGGTCTCTCCACTTCCATGTGGACCTGCACATGGATCCGCATGTCTCACGTCTCGTCAGCCCCGTTACAATTACATTTTAAATAGTGTAACTTGTAATCGGTAACCTGTTACATTTCCAAAGTAACCTTCCCAACACTGATAATGACATGGGTATGACATAAGTATCACAATGTGAAGGTTGTTTTAGGAGGACATTACCTGTTTCCCCGTAATTCAAATGGCTTAAAAAACATAATAAATGGTGTTTTATTTTTGTTTTGTTTTTTATCTAAAAATGCAGAAAGTTTTCTGTGAGGAGTAGGTTTAGGCGTAGGGTTGGTGTAGGGGGATAACAAATACAGTTTGTACAGTATAAAAACCATTACGCCTATGGAGAGTCCCCGTAAACCACATATACCAACATGTGTGTGTGTGTGTGTACAGGGCTCCACAATAACATATGAAAGTTCTAGACAAGTAGATTATAAAATTGTCATAAATGAAATGCTTGTGAACGTGGAGTTACTGATGTATGCACAGAAAATATGTTATCTTACAATCAATCAAAACATAATGAATAAAAATCAAACAGCTGACATGTTTTGTGCAATGTTAGCTCTACCGTAGTAAATGACTGAATAATATTCATGAATACAGTTTTGAAGATGATTGTGCCAATCACCTCACTGCTCCAGATGTCTGCTCTGCAGCAATATAAAGTGTTTCTATGAAGAATAAATTGCAGTAGTTTCTAAACGGTCTTCAAATAGCTGATCCATGAATAACCTTAATTTAAAATGCCTGTTTAGTGGCAAACTGTGCTGATGTAATACGTTAGGTGTTGTTTTCGAATAAAGAGTTTGTATTTTTCCCAAACAATAAGATCAATCTCTATCGCAAAAAAAAAATTCACAACTTTTTTTTCACAGCCTTATTTCTTCACACTACATGCATCTTTTTTGGGGGGGGGGTTTTATGAACTTTAAATCTGAAACTACCAAACACCCTTATTTTAAAACCAATTTTTACTTTTGTGAAAGGTTTTTAAATGAGTAATCAAAGAACTATGAGTATGAGATAATGTACAGTGAGCCAGTCAGCTTGGATGTTCAGTCAACTTGGATGCCTAACACAGAATAACCCCTGAATGGGTTATAATGACCAGATGGCCAGACACTTATCAAATAAATAAAGGGACAAGAAATATTGGTTTGACTTCAAATGAATGCATTTAAGAAGAAAGAGAGTGGCCATGTTGACTTCACTATTTCTTGTTGGGTAAAGGGGAGCTTCTGAGGGGTTGCAAATAAAATGAGACAGATAATGCAGAGCAAGTAATGTGTGCACATGCAGCAGAAGCATAACTAGGATAAGAGAACATTTGTGTCTGAATTGTTCTGAATAGACATTAATATTTGAGTTAATGTGAGGATCCACCACCAACACAGTACAAGACACTTGCTATATCAACAATGTACATTTCCTTAGAAATAAGTCACTCTTTGTATCCAGAACTTCTTCAGGGCTGGTTCACACAGAACACATTTTTGTGTTTCACATCCAGTGAAACTCAAAAACATGTTCTGAAAAGAAAGAAGTGTAACTTCAAAAACTTGTCTTGAGACCCTGCCTCATTTTCCATTCATCAGCACACTGGCTCTGCAGTTGGATACTAGTGCTTGTGTCACGTTTGTGTAAAAAGCAAAAACACACGTTTCAGTGAACAGTTCTTTAAACAACCGTTGTGTGTCTGTGTTAAGAACATTTTAAACCTTTTCCACAATAAGGTGCCATTTGTGCTATGGTTCTATGGATGTTAAAGGTTCTTCATAAAACCATTAATGGCAATAAAGAACCTTTATTGTTAAGGTTCTTCTATGGCACTGCTGCAAAATCACCCTTTTGGAACCTCTTTTAAAAGACTGTATCCAAGAGTCAAGTTGAGGTGCAGTCAAATTTTCTCCTCCTGCAGTGTAATACGAAGCCTCTTAATCTGCAACCTCTCATTTCTTCTGCTTTTTTATATATCGCTCTCTCTCTCTCCTACAAAATATTAGCTGGAGACAGATTTGGCATGTGAAAGTTCCATACTTGCATCCCCTTTTAACTACACTGATGAAAACTGTAATCTAAAAATATAAAAGTTTCATGTAGTCCTACAGAGAGAGAGAGAGAGATCTGTTTTAATAAAGCTTTATCAAATTAAATACCAGCTTAATATTTTATCTATGTATTACGTTTATTTAATCTAATATTAAGCTACAAAAACCTCTTAGCTCTAAGTTGCATGTTTTGTGCACGTCATGTATATGCTACAGAGTAAGCTCACAGTTGAAGAATATTTCATTGTAAAACACACGCCTATCTTTTTTTTTTTCAGCTTGCATAAACTTCACAAATAATCAGCTAGTTTGAAATTCCGTTCCTATGCTCATGAGGTGTTGCTGAGTTGTAGTTGTTAAACAATAACCCACAGCAGTAGTTTTCCTTTGATACTTTATAATGAGGATAGTAGCTAATTGCTGAATGCAGACGATTCGTCAGTAGTTGTGTAGCTACTACTCACCTCGAGAGGCTTCAAGACAGAATCCACGACAGGATCCAGCAGAACACTTGAGCTTCCAGTAACCGACACGACCGAATCTATCGGATTTTCACTTCCGTCACTCAACTCAAAATCAATCAAACTTTTCGTTCTATTAATAGACTTGTATCTTTACGCCTCTGACACGTAGCCTAATTTGTTTGTTTTCTGTGCTTGTTAGACCTTATCCTACAGATGTGAGATTGGAGTCAAATATTCTTGAAACTCTTGTGTTGTCTCGGCTATGCTCTGCTGTGTTGGCAGTAGCGGTGAGTTAATGACGCTCCTTTCGCTGCCTGTGTGGGCGCGAGAAACGCGTGGGCGGACTGCGGCACGCCATCTGACCGAATAAGAGCCTTCCTCTCCGACTCTCGCATCAGGGTGTGGATGGACGGGGAATTCTGTCCATTTCACTGTTAAAGCTCATATCTGTATAATGTCAAAGCCAGCCATTTAGAAGCTAAACAGCACTACAGAGCCCCACTATAATAAACAGCAGATTCAACACATGAGCAAGCATGAGCGCAGTCAGATGTGTGGATGAGCGCCGGAGAGCACCGTGTCTGTGGGCGGTGATCATTGCTCAGTGACGCGGCTAGAGCAGCGGGATTCCCCGGCGCCTCACGTCAGTCTGATCCGGGGACTCTGACTGGTTGGTGCGCTCATAAAGCTCAGCGCGGACTGTTGTTGTTGTTGTTGTTTTAAACGACTGACCTGCAATCTTTTTGTCATTCACCATTCTTTTTTATATGATTTTTATGTATTCATTTTAAATAGAACTTTACAGGATATTCATAGAACACGAATAGAATGGTTTAATTTTGCGTTAATTTTGTTTAATTAGGACATATAAACTGTTAGCTAAGCCTTCTCTTAATGTCACCATAAATTGTCACTTAAAGCATGTGGCATGAGCTCAGCTGATTTATTTAACCCCTTGTCTATTAAAAGTGCAATAACATATTGGCAATTGTTCTTTGATATTTTATTGCGCATTTGGATTTAAATTGCACAAATAAAACTACACTCAAATTCTTCTGTCAACACAATTGCCATTTAACAGTGTTAGTGTGTTGCACTGGTTCAAGTCACTTAGCAAAAGTCAAGTCAATCACTGAAACAACAATGCCACCTTGAGGAACAAATATACACTCTAAAAAATGCTGGGTTGTTTCAACCCAATGTTGGGTCAAATATGGACTAACCCAACTGTTGGGTTAAATTTTGGTTACATTTTTAAATTAACTTTTTAACCCAACAGTTGGGTTAGTCCATATTTGACCCAACATTGGGTTGAAACAACCCAGCATTTTTTAGAGTGTAAGTTTACACAGGTAGGATAATGACACTAAACCACTGTTGTAAAAAAAAAATACATAAATAAATAATTAAAATTAAAAATAAACACTGCTATTATTTTACAAGACACCGGGACGCTAGGGAGTGTTTTATGAGTTACTATGACTATGAGTAACTGTACCCAACATTGGGTTGAAACAACCCAGCATTTTTTAGAGTGTAAGTTTACACAGGTAGGATAATGACACTAAACCACTGTTGTAAAAAAAAAATACATAAATAAATAATTAAAATTAAAAATAAACACTGCTATTATTTTACAAGACACCGGGACGCTAGGGAGTGTTTTATGAGTTACTATGACTATGAGTAACTGTCATAACTCACAATTCTAAGTCGACAGAGACCTCTGGTGTGTACAAATTAAGGGTGCATGTCCTCAACTTTACCTTCCACTAAAAGCAAAATTTACAGTCAAGACCAAGATCCATCCATCTATCTATGTTTTATTTTCCACAGGACAATGCTGTGGAGCATTCATTTTGCTTTGCTTTAACAACACTTGATGAAGCTTTGGGAAAGATGCGTTATTCAATAAACTCATGTAATCAAACTCATACCGTGACTTTATCTCTTGCTTCCTGCTCCTCCGTGCATCTGCCTGTCTTTTAGGCTGAAAGTGGAGTTGACATCACTATAGTTTGGATATCAGAAAAAAAAGGAGTGTTGACTGTTTTTGGGTATCAGACAAATTCTGTTGACTGATTTTGGCTATAAAACTTGAACTGGTTTTGGATAGTAGGCAGAAAAAGTGAAGCATTGTCCAGGGAGAGTCATGGATGTACTCATAAGGATGGACAACATTTACAAAAAGGAGCTGTATGTTGCATATGTTGATCAAGTGTCACCACATCCACGCTGTGAATTAGCAGAATTTAAAAAAGCAATCAATTATATCAATTTCTTTAACTTAATAAACTCCAAGTTTAAGTTAGTAGAAATATATTTTGTACTACACGTCATTTGAACGTCTTAAAATATTGAGTAAACTAACTCATATCATTTCACTTCACCCTCTCACACTGAATAACTTCTAGTGCTTTCACGACTGTAGAAGTGAACACTGATATTTGTAATCCTTAATCTGTGCTATATAAAGTGAGATATTTCATAACATGGTGTCCTTCAAGGTTATCGTGCAGTTTAGAGAAATGTGTGAGGTGGTGCAGCAGAATCCCATGATGTGCTTTAGGTACTATCTTATGTACCTCCCAACAAGTATTGGAATTGCTACATTTTACTGCGTGAAGTGGTAGATGTGATCATGGCCCCAGTGGTTAGAAGATCATGGATACACTATCTTGAGGAGAAAACATTTCATGAACTCTTCCCTCATGGTGTCATTCCAAAAATGCATTTTTAGTGCACTATCCTTCACTTATGCTGAAATATGGGCCATTACTTCATTTGTCTTGTATGCGCTTTGAGGCAAAACATCAATATTTCAAGAAAGTGTCTACCGTTATTTGCAACTTCAAGAACATCACCAAATCACTTGCTAGAAGGCATCAGCTGAGACAATGCTGGGAGCAGTGGCGGCTCGTGGGTTTTAAAATAGAGGAGGCACACTAATTGTATTGGTCTGGGATCCCTGCCGATTATTACTATTATTATTTGCTTAACCACTTTAAAATGGCTTTTTGGTTGCTTTTAGTCAGAAAACATAAAGAAAACGACATACATACAGCAAGATAATATAATTTCACTTACCTGGCCTATCACTTGAAGCAAACATCCATCCCTTCTTATATAAGTTATCCTAGATTCAACTTGATTTTTTAAGTCGGTTCAATGTTACTGAAATTCAAAGAGCCCAATTTAGTTCAGTGCACTTAACATTTTAAGTTGTAGCTTTTTGGCACTAACCGGCCAAATCTCTGAACGTGGATTCATGCGCAGGAGTCAAATTTGTACATTAATTTAATATCAGAGTCCTTTCTAAGAAAAAAAAAATATTCTGCAAATCTAGACATTAGACTCATGTTTGAGAGCAGGCTCGACATTTTCGCGCCCACTGGAAGTTTATCCCAGTCAGTTGGTATTCGTTATTGAGTTTTTTTTATTATTTAATTTTTTTTAATCAACCGTTCAAGCTAGGATAATATAAGTTAACTTGAGGTAGACGACGAGCTGTTTTCTACGACGCATGAACTAATTGTCACCAGTTTTGTCAGTTTGTTCTGTTCAAACTAGAAGAACATATGAAACTTCTTAATATGATTTAAGAGACCACGATTCAAACTATTGTTAACCTTGTTCATTTGTGACTAACGTTACTTTTTTAGAAAGACGTTTTTGTCAGCCGAACAACCGACATGTTAAACGTTACATTCAGTTGGACGCACTGTAGGCCTAACGTTACATCTGTTCCTCACAAGCTCGTTTTCTGTGCCATTCGTTATTTTATTGGCCATCATCATATATTTGATATATAATGTTGTTTTACGATTGCAAATTGCTTACTGGTAACAGATTACAGGTAACAGTAAATGCAAACAAATGCATTATGTTGTATGAATCGGTCATATTTTAATCATGAACAAAAAGTCTGTAAAAGTGTTGTGTAACTTACATCTTTGGGCTTAACTGTAATTAGCAAGTAACCAACAGTTTCCCGTTTACCTCTCTTTGTAGGCTATGACTGAGCACATTACAGTGAGGATCACCATCCATCTTAATATTTTTTTTAGGCAACTCAGGTTATTAAAGGGTTATGAGGCTGTTGTATAGGAAATGTCTTTGCTTGTGTGTGTGTTGTTTACAAGTAAATTTAAGTTGAATAATTATTTTTATTTTTTTTACAGGCACACGCTTGTGAGTCTGAGACTGGATGAAGGGTGAGTTTTGCATTTCTGTACCAAATAAAGTGTATAAACTATATCTTAAGATAAGTCAATATTTGAACCACTTTAAAGTTTTTTTCCCCCTTACATATGTTTTTCTCTTTTTATAGGCAAACATTTGACTGTGAGTCTGAGACTTGATGAAGGGTAAGTTTTGCATTTATGTACTACATAAAGAATATAAACCATATCTTACTAAGATAAGCCATCATTTCAATGACTTCTGATTTTTTCCACTACATTTCTATCATTAGATCATTAGGCAGCTGAGTTCGATCGGTGTCCGGGTCGTAGGGTGGCAGATGTAGGAGAGAGGAAACGCTTTCGCTGCGATTGGAGATGCAGATCCACCGGTCAGTGTGGTTTGGCCTATTAAACGGATAGTTCACCCAAAAATGAAAATTCTGTCATTAATTACTCACTCTCATGTCGTTCCACACCTGTAAGACCTTTGTTCATCTTCAGAACACAAACAAAAATATTTTTGATGAAATCCGAGGGCTTTCTGTTCCCCCATTGGCAGCAACGCAACTAAAACATTCAAGGTCCAGAACGGTAGGAAAGACATCATTAAAGTAATCCATGTAACTCCTGTGGTTTAACCTCAGTTTTATGGAGCAACACGAGTGCTTTGTTTGTCCAAAAAAAATTATTATTTACCACTTTATTTACAATAAAATATTATTCAAAGCTTGTTCATGCTACAATGTTAACTCTAGCGTGAACACAACATACATGCGTCATGTTTCAAATGATTGACTTAATCTGATATCTGTGTGAATTTTTTTTAACTCATCTAACCTACATTGTATATTAAATGTTTGCGGGAATTTTCCAAACGTGAGTAATGAGTAGCCTAAAACCAAAATGCACAATCCCTCACCGAGATTCAGGACATGATTAAACATATATTATATTATATAGAGATATGTAAAATAAATTTCCACGACTTTTCCAAAGCTTTCTGGGTTTTTCATGACCGTACGAACCCTGTAAATGGCTATTTTAATTTTTTAAAATCGTTTTGATGAAATTTTTGCTCCACTTTGTGTGGAGGTAGTGAGACGGGACAAAGTCCCTGTAAGATATTAGGGTATTCTATAGTCTTTGGAAGGGAGAGAGCGCTCAAAACTCTTCAGATTAATTTAGTGGAACATTAATATAATATAGAATCATCCTCTGTAAAGAAGTGAGGCGTGAACATGTGAGAATTTATCATTATCTTTGTAAATGTGCGCTCTTTTGGGCTAAAGGCTTAATGGAACCGTTTAAAGTAGCCATGTGATCACAAATTAATCCTTCGAATGTCGTAGTTGGAAGCTGGAAGTTGTTAGCCCCGGCTGGCCCGTGCGCGCTGTTGAAATGCGACTAATAATTTCTGACTGGCACATAACTGAACAAATGTAAACGGGTTAAGCCGGCCCCCCTACAAGGCGGGGCCCCTGGGCTGCAGCCCAGTCAAGCCCAATGGTAAATCCGGCCATGGCTGTAGCCTATATCCAGTTTAGGCTGTTTTCCCTAAATTTGTATATATAGGCTACTGTTTGAATGACAGCTTGGTAAATCTGATGGCAATCAAATATTCAATATAGCTACTCATCATAAGTACTTGGTACATTATCAGCGCAGCGGCAGACGTTCAAACTAATATCACGTAATTTACGTCTCTGTGATGATTGGTTGATATCAGAAGGAGGCTAGCATCCCTTGCGAGATTTATTTTCTCAACAATCAGCACTGAAAATGAACACTCGATGCTGATTGGCTATTTTTTTTTTACCAATGGAGGCACGAGAGCTCGGTTCTCCCCCGGCCTTCCCCTCCCCTTCTCTATCATTAGCGGTTGTAATTACATCAGCAGATTCGGCACATTCGCGATAGAAAAGCGGCGCTTTCACGTTATGGTATTACAACTGTGAAATTACAAACAAAAATACACATTCTGAGACATGAACTGAAATGAATTGTGAATTTTATTAACATTAAATCGTCCTCCTCCCATTTTCACCTCAAAATTATGGGGAAGCTGTGCCTCCCCTGCCTCCCCCGACAAGCCGCCACTGACTGGGCGCAAGCTCAGAAGAAAAGCATTGGATATGAAGTGTGCCATGCCTCAGGAGCTTGTGATGTCCCATCAAACACCCTGCCTTCTTTAGTATTGGCCACATTGGAATCACAGATTGGAAGACCTCTGTCAAATGAAGTCTTACAAAAAACAAATTCCATCACGGTTAACAATACAGCTTATATGAGGAATACTGGGGAACTGGTCTTGTCAGCATCCTTAATCTCCATTAACTTAGCCAGAGGTGGTACTCAAGAACCACCAGGTTGGCCATTGCTTGACCGATTGCTTGGGTCGTTGACTAAGTTGCGCACAGAGCAGATAGGTTGCATTGCGCAGCCCCTTAAAAGCAGAATGATCTGGGCAGACTCATGCAGGGCACAGAGGACTTTGGTCTAGAAAACCTGGAGGGCCACCATCATATAGAGAGTGGGACCACCTTGACCAGCTGCAGAGTAGGCTCTGGCCATTATGGCCAATGTTGCTCTGCAGGGCTCAGAAAGGGTGGACAGCCTCGGCGGTCCATCCCGGGGCCGTGGAATGCAAAGATGAATGGCAACGGCCTCTTCGAGGGGAGGGGCTTCTCCCTTCTGCTCGGTGCCATCACGGAAGTGAGGGAGAGGGCCGAGAAGGGCTGCGCCACAACATAGAAGGTCCATTGAGAACTTCCAGGAAACAATGGGGCAGGTCTCTGATGGGGGGCTCGCTGGCGGCGCCATAGCTATAGAAACCGTTCATCAAGTCGTCTATGGGCATCTCATCCGGAGCCGACCACTTCACACTGAGGTCCTCGTGGTCATTGGTGATGACGTGTATGAGCAGCCTCTGCGTGAGCTTGCCAAAGCAGGCGGCACACTCAAAGTGCTCATCTGAGGAATGCAGGAGCGCCCACATGAGCCACACCTGTGGCACGCCATTTTGCAACAAACACTGCTGAAAATATGCTCTTTTAGGTGAAATATGCTCTAATAGTCTCGCCGGATAGCCGAGGGGAGAGACAGCATACTCAGCTGTGTGCAGAGTCCAGCAAGGAGATAATCTGATGTAATGGCATTCAGCACCGACCTATATAGGCAGTCGGCTCCACCCATTTTGGTGGGCTGAAATGCCACAGTTTTGTTCAGCTGCACAAACATTAACAAATCAGGCTTCAGTATTTGGAGAAAAACAGAACTTCCCCCAAGCTGGATTCCACGCTATGTGAGAGACCGTTTGAAAGGGAACAACAGTCATATTCAGAAAATAAATGAAAACAAATGTAAACAAATTTGGATATTTATAATCTTTCAACACTTCTAGCTATAACTGACATGTTTTGTAACATGAAGCACTTTGAGAAATAAGCCAAATGAATATAATAGTGTTTAATGGGTACAGTCGAAACAGTTTCTAGATATGCTAAATGTATCAGCATATTCATAAGCTCTGCAGTTTATTTAGAGAGCAAAATTATTAAAGTAAAAATATTTGTTGGCAGATGTAGGAAGAAAATAAATGCTTAGATAAAACTGTTGATCAATATTGTAGAGATTAATTATTCTTAATTTTAATTGTTAATAAACTGTGGGCTTCTGCTGGCAATTTATACTTTGTAGCGTTTAACACTGCCTTTAATAAAATAAGGAACTATAATAACATATGTAAATGGATTTTTAAGGCATTTTAACATTTGCTTTAGGTGTTGTATTTATTGTATTGTATTTTAATACGTCCATACTATTGGTTAGGCTACATTACATTATGGATGAGTGTTTCAACTGTACATGCTGGCATGGGTAATTGGAAAAAATCCACTTGTAGTATTTACGGAAAATAAAAGCTATTTGTAGACATCCGAAAACTGCCATATGAGGCAATGACTTTGCAGGCAGCGTTTTTGCACGAAGGCACCTCATGAAGCTGATTTCGGACAGGCTTCTGAGGCAGGTTTAATGATCTACAACAAAATAGAACGAGTTTTTGTGATAACTAAACGAACATTTCATTACTATAATACTGATTTCTCGCTAAATATAACATCAAAAGTGCAAAAAGTTAGTCAGAAATATACATTTACACACAAACTGACCACCAAACGCATCTTTATTTTTTAGCTCAACCGTCCAGTAGCCCCTCACTGCAGAACACAACCGTCACGGAATGGAACGCACAGGATTGTGGGATATTCAAAATTCGATCAGAAGAAGAAGGTACCTCTGGGGAACACGGCTTGCAGTGCGGGTGGGAAATTTGAACGCTGGCAACGTCAAAACGCCTCTACAGTGAGACTTAGACCGAAACTAGTTTCTACGAGGACTGACTAACGAGGAATCAGATACACACAAACGTGGGAAGACTGAGGACTGTGAAGTTAAGGTATTGTGAGTATAGTAAATATAGGTGTTGTGAGGAGCTTGGATTGGGATTATCGACCGACGGCCTGTATATGTCGGGAACAATACTCTCACGAAGTTCCTTGCAGGCCTGGGGGAAAATGGCAGGGGAAGAGACTGACAGTGAGAGTAACAGTATGGTTTGTAGTGAGGAAGATGAGACGGGGATAAATGAGTGGGAAAATGTAGGAAAGGGAAAGAATGGAAAAAGTCGGAAAAGAAAGAAAAAAGAAACATCCAGCATTGAAGAATCGGAAAGTGAAGGAAGTGAAGAAAGAGAAAAAAGAATGAGAGAGGGTATAACGATTGTAGTTGTTAGATTTGAAGGAGAGGGAGGAACAAAGAAAAGTGACCCGATTAAATTTTAAAAAATCATCAAAGGACAAATTGGAGAAGTGAAATATGCTAGAATTCTAGGAGATGGGAACTTGTTAATTGGGTGTAATAATAAAGACCAAATGGAGAAGGCTAGAAAACTAACAAATGTTGGAAAAATAAAAGTTCTTAAGGTTGTAAGAGTTGGGGAAAAGAGAATCAATGGATGCAAGGGTGTGATCTATGAAGTTCCCATTCATGTTAATATAAGAGAACTAGTGGAAAGCATTAAAGTGGAAAATGGCACAGTGAAAAGTGTAAGAAGAATGACGAAAGGGGTAGAGAAAAAGGAAACAGAATCTGTACTAATCGAATTTGAGGAGAAAGAGATACCCAAGCAGGTTTATTTTGGCTTTGTAAGATATAATGTAAAGGAGTATGTAACAAAACCAATGAGATGTTACAAATGTCAAGAGTTTGGACACATAGCCAAAATGTGCAAAGGGAAGCAAAGATGTGCTAGATGTGGGGGGGAGCATGAATATGGGAAGTGTGGTGAGGGAACAAAACCGAAGTGTTGTAACTGTGGAGGAAATCATAGCTTACATGGGGATGTGAGGTACTTAAAAAAGAAGTGGAGGTGCAACAGATAAGGTTAAAAGAGAAGGTATCATATGCTGATG